CCGACTCCCCCCCTCCCTAATCCCAATCCCGTCCCCCCGATTCCGATTTCCCCCAGTGCCCAACCCCACTCTCCTCTCGGCGCCCAGCCCCTCTAACCTCCCAGAATCCCCCGGCTCTCCACACGCTCTCCTTCCCCCAACCCTCCACCTAAGCTCCCCCGACGCTCATTCCCACCTGCGCCCGTTTCTTCGGCCCGCTTCCCCCCCCTCTCCACTTGGCGATCCTCCAACTAGCGCCCGATCCGAGATCCCTCCACGCGCACGTGCGCGCGACCTCCCCAGCCCTCCTCCTATGCCCCTCCCCCCACAATTTTCCCCCGCGGGCACGTGCTCGTCGGGATTATTGGCTGGAGCGTCACATCTGTTCGAAGATGACGCAAGTCTCCTAAGATCAACGAGAACAGAAATCTCGTTTGGAGCAAAATGACAAGAGCTCATTTGATTTTGATTTCCAGTACGCATACAAATTGTGAGAGCTTGGCTTATCGATCCTTTAGCGTTTCCGGACTTGAAGCCAGAGGTATCCGAAAAGTTACGGCAGGGATAACTAGCTTGCGGCCGCCAAGCGTTCATAGCGACATTGCTTTTTGATCCTTCGACGTCACCTCATCCCATCAAGGTGGAGCAGAATTCATCAAGTAAGCTTCATCATCATCGCCATCGCCGTCGCTGCCGACATTGCCAACATCAATGCAACCACAGTTTTGGTTCGTCATCATCTGCCCGCGCTTTGATCGGGCGACCTCGTCGTTCCACCGGGGGAACGATCGAGAAGACCCTTTAGGGGTTGATTGAAGACCTTCCTTGACTAGGAGGAAGGACCTTGATTGCTCCCCGCCGACCGGGAGCGCGGTATTGCCGATCTATCTCTCTCTTACTAATCCCCTCCCTTCCACTCGCCGCTTTCTCTCAAAGATCTCACCTTTTTCCTCTTCTTTTATCTCCTCCCCATCTCCCCTCCTCTCCTCTAACCCCCCGCCTAATCGGTCGCATCAACCAAAATTCCTAATGTGCATGACGCATATTCTCTCTTTCAGGGTTTGTTTGACAATGCTGTCCATCCTGCCGTGCGGAATTTTGATCTAATTCAATAGGATTAATCTTCATTTCCTTCCCTCCTAACACCGTGATCGGAATTAATTCCGGCGTTTTTGTTCAAAAGTTACGTGAAAATTTTTATTATACCAAATCCTTTTCTTAATTCAATTTAAAACTTCACTTTATTTCAGAAATTCGTGAGATAAATTTCAAAATTTACTAAATTCAATTCTTTTGATGTTGAACTTCTATTTTCTATCCCTCGTAAAATTCCGAAATTCTACAATTCTTTCTGAAATTCCTTTGAAATTCTTTGGAAATTTCTTTGAAATTCATCTTAATCTTGTAACAAGCCGAGAAATTTTGTTGACTTGACCTACATAACCCTGGAATTTCTCTCAACCTACTTTATGTGGCTATCACTAATTCTTTAAGAAATTTCATCATAAATTATTAATTTAGGAGTTAATTTTCTACTTTTATTTCAAATTCCCTTTGAAATTCTTTTAATTCCCGAAATACGTCAAGGAATTTTTCATTTTACTTCAAAAATTTTCCTCTAAACTCATCTCTACCTCTTCTATCATCCCCCTGAACTTTTGGAAATTCTTATGAATATTTTTGGAATTTGTTGAATTTTGCTTCAATTTCCTTAAAATTCCGAATTTACGCCCAAACAATTTCGGAATTTTATTTTGACCTCGTGATTGTCTTATACATACCTTCTTCCATACCCCACGCGGTCCTTTGGAAATTTCCTCTCATTCCCCCACCCAAATTGGAAATTTTACTTTTCCTCCCTCAGTCCGATTTTGCGAGGCCACAGCCTCTAAGAGCCTCATAAGGCCCCAATTTTGCAGCCCGTCGGCCGCCCTAAGTGAAGGCAGGCTCGACGAGGCCCTCAGGGCCTTTTTCTGGCCACCACGCAACTCAGGGAAATTCAGGCAGTTGCGCAGCGCCAGTTGGTTGAGTGAACCCAGGCCCTGGGCTGCCTGTGTGAATGTACGTGCAGCAGGCCCTGGGCTGGATACGGGTACCGGGCCAAACACATGTCGAAAGCAGGTGGGGACATGCAACCACTTCAGGCCCAAGGCCTGCTTTCCTCGTGCTGGGCCTCAGGCTACCGGGGCCTACTGGAAGCTTCCTGGACTGGTCGCAGGCAGGCCACTTCGATATAGGGAAGGGCCTGCCTCCTCATTCGGCATTCGGGTGCTGGCTGCATGCTGCGCAAGCGCTGCTGCTGCGCTATTTGCTGGCTGGCGCCTACGCTCTCACGGGCGAGCAGGGAAGGAGCGGGCAGCCATAGTCGAGCTGCTCCGCTGTGAGCTAGGTGTGGCGCAGGGTGGTCCTTGGGTGCTAGTGGCATCTGTGAGTTGGGGAACGAGGTTGTGAGTGTAGCGCAAGACATACCTGGTGCTGGAAGCGTGCGACATTGGTCGCCATATGCTCGTACTTCGGGAATGCTGTTGATGTCATCTTTCGGCTTCGTAGTATAGGCTAGATAGGATCTGCCACATGTAGTCTAGGCGCCGAGCGCCAGATAGGATATCAACTCTGGTTCTTCGTTGATGATGATGGGACTATTTCAACATTGTCAATTATGAACTCTTGGTGTGTTCTTATTTGGTGAATCTCGTAAATGCAATTCTGCTGTTGGTTCGAGATCAAGACTATCTGGACTCATATGTATGATGCTGTTTGATTGCTGAAGTTCGCTATTGCTCATCTTCCTTGCAATTTGGTATCGGAGCTGTGGTACGATTGCGCTCATCTGGCGCTTGTCTTCTGCCTTATGCGGTACATACATGCAGACTGCTGGGCGAGTTTGGCCGTAAGTGGTGTGTAGTGAGGAGGGTGGAGACAAGTGTAAGGCGACCCAGGAGGTGAGGGGATCGCCAGGAAGGCTATGTGAGGTGAATGTGGTCTGGACAGTGTGATGAGAACTATCTAATGTGTGATTGATGCTGAGGTGGAACGGCGAGGTAATGCTGGTTGTGCCGATGCAGTGACTGGTCATCGCAATCGCCATTTGGTCATCTGGTGAGATTATCTCTGTGGTTGGGGGCAGCTAAATGAGGTACGTTGCTCTTAACCTTATCTTCCCTCTCCGACACCCGTGAGGTTGTGTGTTCCTTCTTGAGAGTCCTCTCATCGTGAGGTGTCGAGTGCGCTCAACCTTGAGAGTCGGCAATGTTCACGTGGAGCATCTGGGTGGAGATGGGCGAAGCTTTCTGAAGGGCCCTGGACGAAGCACTGGGTCACGGTCACCATGCCAACCCACAGGGAGTAGAGCACGCATGCCTAGCTGCTTGTCCTTTGTTCGGCTTGCTGCGCTGTTAGATGGGTACCACTGGGCAGGCCAGCCCTACAGGAAAGACGAGCACCCGGCGTCTATAAATAAACACGGGAAGGGGAACCATTGACTGTGATCGTCGTCCGACTGCGACGTAAAATAATTCCTGGAGTCACTTGGGGGCGGACGTTAAATTGCCCCTGGACCAGTCAATGGTTGGAAGGCTCGCGGCACGCCGAGGATAAATATACGTGCAAGGCTGGCCGGCTCAGGGGATACTCGGGGCACAGGGGTGGGCCGGACACACACACCTTTAGACACGCTACGCCTCCAGATTACTCAGGGACGCTGACGTCAAGTGATACTCAGGGGATCTAAGGGAGGGGTTGATTCCAGGTGATAAGTTCGAGAAAATGCCATGCTGTCCTATCCACACAACTGATTTTATTTTTATGTTTTTTGATTAGTTAGATGTACTGCCATTGACATCTGACAGATAGCATTAGTTAGAACTGTTTATTGTTTCTGGTGCTTCTGTTTGCGGACTAGTCAGACTAAAAATAGTTTCAGTTGTAGGAATCTGACTTACCTGTTGACCTCAAGTGATACCTGTTCCGAAATAGCCACCCACTAATTAGTGAGTCTGTGCACTATGTTGCGGTAGGCATCTAGTATGATCTAGTGTAGACAGTGCACAGTGCTGTAGCCTATGAGCGACGAGGAGGACATCGGAGAGGACGACAGCTAGAGGCCTGAGAGCCCATGTGTCCCTAGGACCGGAGGGTGATAGGATTATGTTCCGCCGGCTTAGGGAGAGACAGCAGGAGCAGAGGAGGGCTAGAGCAGCCGAGGCCAGCAAAACTTTAGTTAGCGAAGCCGGTGCTACAGCAGCCATGGCCAGTGCAGCCATGGTCACTTCTGCGCAGCAGACTTCCCAAGCCGGTAGTTCAGGTGCCGTCGGGTCAACGGTCGCGCAGACCGTGAGTCAGTCCATTGGCATTATGGCAAGCCAGGCCGCGGTGTTGACTCCAGAGGATGTCGCCATCCAGCAGGCAGCTCTGCAGGAGGCACAACTACAGCGGGCATTAGGAGAGATAAAAGCGGAGAAGGAGAAGATGATCAGAAGAAGAGCCAGGATGCAGCGAAGAGGGGCAGACATAGAGGAGTTAGAATTGATGGACCTGACACATATGGATGCTGATGTGAAGGTAGTTCGTAGGGCCCTGCTAGGCGTTATAGAGACGCAGGAGCATCAAACTACAATCCTTCAGGACATTCAACAGAGCCTAGCCGTTTTGGCAGGCCGTGCTCAAGCAGCACCATCACCAGCCGGGCCTGGTGCCTGGCCCGTGCCATATCCTCCCTTTTATGTCCCACCGGGGACAGGGGTATCCCCATACGTAGCCCCGTCAACGGTTGCTATCGTTTCCCTGGGTATGCCGCTGTCAGGAGGGGTAACAGCAGGGAGTAGTTTGCAGGTTCCTGTACAGACAGTGTTCACTCCAAGTCCGTCGCAGGTTGCTGTCACCACGCAGCCTGTGCAGCCTCAGGGCACGCAGCCCCAGCAGCTAGCACAGCAACCTGTGTCACCGGGTCCACAGCCCGGAGTGATGCAGGGACCGGGACAAACTCAGTGGGTTCCGAAGACGGCCATCGCCGCTCCCAAACCTTTTACAGGGGACAAGAGAGGCGAAGACCTCGACACATGCTTGAGGGCAGTGCCGGTCTACGTCAGGTGTAAACTGACCTTGCCGCACGAAGAAGTGCTTGTGGCTGCTTCCTACCCAGAGGGTAGTGCAGCAAGATGGTTGAGCGGTCTAGTGCAACTTCAGGGATATGGTCATGACTTCCGCGTTTGGGCGGCCGCCCAAAAATTGGAGGACTTCCTGAAGATGGTGGAAGAGAGGTGGCATGATCCTCAGGAGGCCCAAAGGGCCACTGACGCGATCCTGACACTGCACACGCGGCAGTTTAAGTCAGTAAGGGAAGCCACCGACGTTGTTGAGCGTCTGATCTGTGTCCCTAGGGTGCGCTTTGACCCCCAGGTCCTGTTGACTTCGTACCTGAGATGCTTTTCTCAGCCTCTCAGGAACCAGTTGGCAAAAGAGGCCAACATCAATATGCGCAACTTCCCTTCGTTTAGCAAGGTGGCCCCAGACCTTGAAGCTAAGATAGGGCATGGACAGGCACCCACTACGGATGGGAGAAAGAAGACACTGCCTCCCAACTGGAAAGCGAAAGGTCGCTTGATGTTTGTCGACAACGATGGTTCAACCATCGAGGTGGACAACAACTTCCAGGAGGGAGTAGGTTCAGAGGCAGGCAACATAGATGCTTCAGAGGGTGGAGTAGTCGCTGCCGTTTCTCAAAAAGGTAAGGCGACCGGTAGACGCCGCGAAGGCTCCCAGTCTAGGAGTCAAGTTGACCCCAATGCTCCTCCATGGGAGAAAGCGGGTCTTACTGAGGACGTGTGGAGAGACCGTTACTCACGGCAGGCCTGTATTCGTTGTGGTCAATATGGCCACAGCCAATTCAAGTGCCGCAACAAGAAAGTGACAGAAAAAATCCCGCCTACGATGGGGCAAGTGTTGGGATCCTCTCATCCCGTTGGTAGCAATGTTGCTAGTACTTCTGGCAGTGCTCCGGGAAACACGTCGGGCCAGTAGGAATAGTAGCTGTTCCTGCTAGGGTCGAGGTGGTGGAGACACCCTCACCATCTCGAGAGATGGCCCAAGCTACTAACTCCAACGTCATCCCGCAAACACCTTCAGACCCATCGAGCCTCTGTTTGATGAATGTGTTTGAGTCCTTAGAGGAGCTAGAGGTGGAGTGGTCTCGATCAGACCCGCTAGCTTCTTGGATGGCACTAGTCAAAGCCCCGAAGGGTGAGATGTTCCTCAGCGAGGTAGTCATTGGCGGCTGCAAGGCCGGGGCCTATTATGACACTTGCTCGACGCGGAACTATACTAGCCGCGCGTGCGTTGAGAGACTGTGCTTACAGGGGCGAGTGCAGCGCCTGAGTCGAACTGTGGAGTCGACCTGTGCCAACAAACAGCGCATGGTAGTTAACTACTACCTCCAGGATGTAGAGTGTTGTTTCCTGTACGCGGGAGGGGACTTGAGACATCGTGTCTCGTTCCTAGTGAGCGATGAACTCCCCATGGACATGTTGTTAGGTATGTACTACCTCACTGTGGCACAGCCCCAGTTTGACTGGGACCGAAAAGTGGTCAAACACACTTTGCCAGGTGGAGGGACCGCCAGATTGCACAAGTTCAAAGCTAGTAGTCTGATCGAGTCCCATGGATGCATGTGTGCGGCCGCGTTCTATAACTATTATAAGCAAAATTAGGAGGAGGGCATGTACTTAGTTTAGGTCTCTGCTGCAGGTGAGCCGGTGAAAATGCCGTCGAAGATAGAGGGAGTTGTTGACAAGTACCCTGATCTATTTGAAGAGCCGACAGGGGTTGTTAAGAGGGAGGTCGTCCACGCGATAGAGATTATCCCAGGGTCTAGTATCCCGAAGGTTAGGATCTATCGGATGTCTCCAGGCGAGCTTGATGAGCTTCGCCGACAACTCAAGGAACTCGTAGAGAAGGGGTGGATCCGGCCCAGTGTCTCTCCTTATGGGTCTCCAGTTCTATTTGTACCTAAGAAGAAGGAGGGTACTTTTAGGATGCGCATTGACTATAGGGGCCTCAATGTCATCACTGTAAAGAATAGAGAGCCCCTACCGCGCATTGATGATCTGTTAGATAGAGTGCAAGGTTGTCGGTACTTCAGTAAAATAAATCTGAAGTCCGGGTACCATCAGATTGCAATCCGGCCCGAGGATCAACACAAAACCGCCTTTATGACCAGGTAAGGTCTGTACGAGTTTGTGGTGATGCCTTTCGGCCTTTGCAATGCTCCTGGCACCTTTCAACACGATATGAATCACACATTCCATGGAGCTGCTTGGTCAGGGCTTCATTAAACCGAGTACTTCCCCATGGAGTGCCCCGGTCCTCTTCGATCGCAAGAAGGACGGCACCCTTCGTCTTTGTATTGACTACCGCGGTCTGGACCACTACACGGTCAAAAATAGTCATCCCATGCCTTGCGCAGATGATCTGTTTGACCGCCTCGCCGGCCACCATTTCTTCACGAAGATCGATCTTCGTAGCGGATATCACCAGATCCGCGTAGCCGAGGAGGACCAGCCCAAGACCGCTTTTCGTTCTCGTTTCGGGCACTAAGAGTTTACCGTCATGCCTTTCGGTCTCCGTAATGCCCCCGCCACTTTCCAGACGTCTATGAACACGATGTTCCAAGATCTCCTTGAGGACTCTGTTCTAGTCTACATTGACGACATCCTGATCTAGAGTCGTACCTTAGAGGAGCATCTGATCCACCTTCGCACTGTCCTGCATCAACTACGCGACCACGGGTTCTATGCGAAGCTTTCCAAATGCAGCTTTGCTCAACCCAAAGTCGACTTCCTCGGGCATCAGGTGTCCGAGCACGGCCTCCACATGGACGACTCGGAGATCCAGGCCATCGTCGATTGGCCTACCCCTACATCTCTCCCCGCCCTGCGTAGTTTTCTTGGTTTGACCAACTACTATGGTCCTTTTCTCAAAAAGTACTTGTCGTATTCTTCCCAGCTTACCCCTCTGACCCACGGACGTCTACCTTTTCATTGGACCCCGGCTCACGAGCATGCCTTCCGCTCTCTCAAGCGACTTGTCACGTCGACTCCTGTCTTACACTTCCCGACTACTCGCGTCCATTCATCGTCACCACCGACGCGTCCGACTTCGCTATTGGAGCTGTTCTCTCCCAGATCTACCCAGCCCCTTCTACTTCTCCCGATTCCACAGAGTCCCGCTTCCCTCCCCCACCTCCGGCAACTGCGGCTCATCTTGCACCCATCGAGCCCACCCCCTTATATTCCTGACGTTGCTGATGACGATACAGACGAATCTCGTGATGGAGAGTGTCCGGTTGCTCATCTATCTCGACAGCTACTTCCCGCTGAGCGTAACTATATTGTCGACGAGCGTGAGGTCCTTGTGCTGATCTACGCTGTTGAGAAGTGGCGTCACCACTTGCACGGTCACACTTTCACCGTTTTGACGGACAACTCTGTCCTCGCCGCCTTCCAGACGAAGTCGAAGCTCACTTATCGCCAAGCTCGTTGGTGGCATGATCTCTCAGAGTTCGACTTTACCATCAAGAAGATTTCCGGCGAAAGCAATCGAGTCGCAGATGCCTTATCCCGCTGGCCCGACCTTCAGTGCGAGGATCGTAAGCTATCTGCGATTTCAGCTCCCACCATCCACCCCGCCTTTCTGGATGAGTACCGTCGCGCATACACCCAGTGCCCCGAGTTTCAGTCCATTTACGCTGACCTACAGGCTGGCAAGTCCGTCCCTAACTTCCAGCTCGATCCCTCTGGACTCCTATACTGGCTTGGTCGCCAAGGTACCCGTACTCCTCACTTATGTGTGCCCTCTACTGGCCAGCTCCGCGTTCGGGCCGTCGCTAAGTGTCACGACCAGCGCGCCGCCGGTCATCTCGGTGTCTTCAAGACACTTGACCGCCTCTACCGCCATTACTACTGGGAGCCCCATCGTCCCTTCACTAAGGAGTACGTCCGCACTTGCAGGATCTACCAGGAGGCCAACATTCCCAACCACCCCCCCTACGGTCTTCTTCAGCCCTTACCCATTCCCACTCAGCGTTGGACTTCTGTCCCATGGACTTCATCGGTCCTCTTCGTCCCCCTACTCCACGAGGCCACGACGCCATCTTCGTCGTTGTCTGCCGGTTGACTAAGCATGCTCATTTCCTCCCTTGCGAGTATGCTAGTTCAGCCAAAGACATCACCTCCCTATACTTCAACCGTATTGCCATTCATCACGGTCTCCCCACTAGCATCGTCTCTGATCGCGATCCCCGCTTTACTTCTCATTTTTGGCGTGGACTCCATGAGACCTATGGCTCTGAGCTCCGCCTCTCCTCCTCCTATCACCCCCAGTCAGATGGACAGACCGAGGTCACCAACAAAACTCTTGGGAGTATCCTCAAGAAGTTTGTTGAGAATGACTTTGATTGGGATCTCCACCTTGCTCACGCAGAGATTGCTTATAACCATGCTATTTCACCTGCCACTGGCATGTCTCCCTACTACTGTGACTTGGGATACCATCCTCGTGTCCCATCTGACCTTCTCCGTCCAGATCCATCCCGACACCAAATGCCCTGCCCTCGATGACTGGGTAAAGGAGATGGATGCGCTTCTTAGCAAGGCTCTCGAGAGAATTGCTGACTCCCAGGCTCGCATGGCCACTCGTGTTAACCGCTCTCGCATCGACCATCCCTTCAAAGTTGGCGACGAGGTTCTTGTCGACGCACGTTACTTCCAGCCTGAAGCTGACACGCTTCGAAAATTCAGACGTTGATATATTGGACCATGCACCATTCTTGCACCCGCCGGACCCAATCATGACTGTCCGGTGAGCTTCAAATTGAAGCTCCCCGATTCCATGTATCGCGCTAACTTACATGACGTGTTCCATGTATCTCTTTTGCGCCCCTTCAGACGGTCTCCTCCCGAGTTCCACGGTCGACCTTACCCTCGCCCCTCTCCCATCATCATAAAGGGTCACGAGGAGTTTGTCGTCTCTGATATCGCGTCCCGGCGTATGACTGATGGTGACCCTCCCCGCCTCGAGTATCTCGTTCGATGGAAGGGTTACCCTGACGAGGAGTCTACTTGGAAGCCTCTCGAGCACCTGAAGCATGCTATGACTTTCGTGAGTGCTTACGATGGTGCTCACCCTTTCCCTTCATCATCCTCCCCTCCTACTTCTCGTCCTCCCACTGACCCATCTACCTCAGCGACCACTAACATTCCCCCTCCCCCATCGATGGGTTCTCCTGCTCCACCGGTACCCGCCTCAGGTTCTTCCCTTGTGGATGTGCACCCATCGACTTCCTGCTCGCTATCGAGACTGATCTACACCCCCTATACGCTCTCAATCTTTTACTATTCTTGGACACTTATGCAGCAACTCCCGATTTCGGCTTCTACATTCAGCTTCTACATTCGGCTTCTACATTCGACTTCTACATTCGACTTTCGACCTCAGTGCTTCTCCTCAATACCAGAGTACCTGTCGCATTATTCCAGACTTCTACTCGGTTCTTGCAGTACTCCTACTTCATCCACACTACTTTGGTTCGACTTCAGTCTGGAGACTCGTCAGTTGGACAACTTCACTTTTTCGGCTACAGAGTTCCCATCATTCCCACCTATCCACTACCCTCGAGCTTACCCCTCCCTCCAGTGGCATGATGATCCCTATTTTCCCTGTCTATATGGGTGTGTCCGTCTGCCGCCCTTCTGCCTTACCGTATGCTGCGTGCCCTCCTCTGGAGTGTACGTTTTCTTTGCTCGCGGCTTTTGGCCACATGTCTATGTCGGCGTAGCCCTCTCTCCTTCCAGGCTCACCTTATGTGTGCTCCCTTGTGTGCGTGCCCTCCCCCTTTCAGCTGGCGGTACCCGTTTGATGGTTTCCATTGAGCCCAGTGTCGTGCTGTTACTCTCCCTCTGAGCCTAATGACCCTTACCTGGTTGCGTGGGTGCCCCCTTGGAGTTTACTCTGAGAGTTGTACCTGCCGCCTTCCCACCCATGCCTACCTTTGCCATGCGGCTGAGTTCCCTTCACTTTTGTTCAGGTATTGTGCATTGTGTACAGGGCACATGAGACTGTGCCACATTCTTTTTCGACTTAGGACATTGGTTTAGCTATTCTTTGACCTTTACGGGTCCAGTGTTGATTTATATTCAGCCACTTTGGTTAAAAGACATTTTCTCTTTTTTGGCCGACACAGGTCAAACATTTTTCTCTTTCTTGGCCGACACAGGTCAAACATTTTCTCTTTCTTGGCCGACACAAGTCAGACATTTTTCTCTTTCTTGGCCGACACAGGTCAGACATTTTTGTCTTTCTTGGCCGACACAGGTCAGACATTTTTCTGCTTTTTGGGTCGACTCAGACCAGACATTGTTGCATAGATGAGGCTTGCGGCTTAGTCTGCATTGCATCCCTTTTCCTGCATGGAGCTTGCTCAGCATCTAGGATTGTTTCTTTTGCCGTTCCTTTTGGGTTTCCGCCATTCACAGGTCTAAGGATCGTGTAGCGGTACCCCTACGGCCCGCCAATGAGGCCGGACCAGTTTCAGGCTATCGGCCTGACCCTGGTCCGGTACCAGGTTGTTCCCGTACCTGAACCTAGGCCGGTATATCACTTCGGACTAGGCCCAGGTCGGGAGGTTGATTCATTCATTCATTCAGTGTGACAACCCACGTTCAACTATTGCTTCTCGCGTGTGTCCATCTCCTCTCTCTCTCTCTCTCTCTCTCTCTCTCTCTCTCTCTCTCTCTCTCTCTCACCATCTCCGCACGTGCCCTCCACACGTGCGTCACAAAGAGGGAGGAAGAAGAAGACTCCCGGATACTTCGATGAAATCTTGTAAATAATTGGTCCGTGGGTGTTGATAACGTGGTTGGGATCCTTGGAAATTTTTGTTGTTAATTGACTCAGGGAGAGACAGTAATTAGAATTGATTTTCATTTCAATTCGTGTGCAGACTGGACATACATCCAGTGTGGTGTGGATTGCTCCCTCCAAAGGTCACTTGTCATTGCACATGTGTATGGGAAAGCATGGATGCCATGTTGGACCTCGTTTCAATCAGGCACATAACAGTATGACTGCCTTACTCAGAGATCTGCCAAACTCTCCGTTGGAGTGGGAGTAGCAGCAGACAGCGGGATCAGCCCCAAAAGATAAACTGCTGACTCCTGGTGTCACATACCGAGATGGCACAAACCAGAACCAAGAGCCGACCTCTCACGGATAGAGCAGGATAGCACAGCGGAAGACTGGAATACAAATGATCGGACCCAATCAATGTCGAAATGCAGACTGGACATACATCATTATCATCACGTGGTGTGAATGGCCTGGCACTGCACACCAAAATGACGGTGCCATGCCTAACTCATACACAAATGAGGAGGAGGGGGAAGAGACGAAGGAGAGGGGAGAAGAGATGAGAATGTCGTCAACCCCAATGTCGCTGATATCAATCCCAAACAGTCCCCTAATGTCTCTGCCCAATGCCGAGTCCAGATCCCAAGTGTCGTCAATCTCTCTCTCTCTCTCTCTCTCTCTCTCTCTCTCTCTCTCTCTCACTCATAGCCGAAGAAGTCACGAGCGCTGGGAGGGGAAGAAGAGGTGGTGGAGTGGAGGAAGGAGGGGAAAAAGAAGATCTCTCTCTCTCTTTCTCCACACCAAGTACTGACCTGCGAAAGGTGGTGCCTTGATGTAGATGTGGACGTGCTGAAGACGAAGCATGAGCAATGGCTACGCAGGTAAGTCTCAGGTGAGTCCTTAGGCCGCCATCACCATCTCTCCCTCTCTGCGCTACTCTACTCTATCAGCGCCAAGCGCTGGGGACTAGTCCTGTCGTCGACTACTACTACCCTGCTGTCGTCCGAAGTGTGCCTCCTCGATCCTCTACCCCATTCCCGTACTGAGGTTGGGTCAGCCTCAGTGGCCGAGTCCTCGCGCCCATACTGAGGCTGAGCCTCGAACATTTGGCGCCCAAACTTAGGGTGGACCTCCAGCGCCCACCGAAACGGCTCGACCTCAAAGCCAGAGTCTGGTGCCAAAACGTGCGCCAAGGCCTGTACTCAAAATGAGGCCTACCGGGCCCCTCACCGGTACTGGTCCTACTCAGGCCTAAAATCGGCCTACCGACGCTGCCGACCCTACTATAGGTCAAAATGACATAGACCCTACACCTACGGACCCCTAGCCTCCCTGGTCGGGCCCTATTGGGCCCGTGTGGACCTGAGTATGCCACACTCCCCCCTCCTTGAAAGAGCGAGCTTACCTGCGAGGGTGAAGCTGTCTGTTGGAGGGAGGACCGAAGTCAGGGGCAGGCGTTGCAGCTTCCGTTGCTAACGGTTTCTTCTCATATCTGGCGTGAATAAGCGGTGCGGAGGCTTGCAAGGCTGCTCGTGAAATCCATTCCGTATCGTTGGGGTTGCGCCACTTGAATGTGACCTTGTACTGCATTGGCTTGTTGTCGTGCTTGCAATGCGTGATGACGTGATCAACTTCCTGATGACCATCCACAGAAGGAGGGTCCTGCGATCGTCGGCTCGGGAAGTCGTCGCTCTTGGCTGGTGTATAGGTGGCCAACTTGGAGGCGTGGAAGACCAGGTGGATCGGTAGATGCAGCGGGATGTCGATCACAAAAGAAGGGTCATCGGGCTCATCATCCGCGGCTGATATGACGGTACATGGTCCAAACCACTTAGGAAGAGCGCGAGATGTCTTGTTCAAGTGCAAACTCCTCCGTGGAGACCTACACAAGGTTGCCGGCGCGGAAAGGGCATGGCACGCGACGCCGATTGGCTTGCTGTTGCATGCGGACTTGGGCCTTTTGCATGTTGGCGCGGGCTTTAGCCAGCAAGTCCCGATACTTCCGAAAGGAGGCGGGAGAGCAAGCGTCGCCGATGTCGGCGGTCCTTGGAAATGGAAGACCAGCGAAGATACGGCCTTTCCTGCCACCGTCACAAGCGGTTATCGGGTAGCTGAAAATTCAAGAATGAAAATTCTAAAGTGAGAGTTTTGGGCAGTCTGAAAATCCTGAATGGTCCTGAAGTGGTGAAAGGTCCGAAGACCCTGAAAACCACCTCTTTAGGCAAGCTGCATCTTGAAGTGGTCAACTGAGAGTTTTGGGCAGTTTGAAAATCATAAATGGTCCTGAAGTGGTGAAAGGTCCGAAGACCATGAAAACCACCCTTCACGACTTGAGGATGCAGCCTGCCTAAGCATGTGGTTTTCATGGTCTTCGAAGCTTTCACCACTTCAGGACCATTCAGGATTTTCAAACCTGAATGGTCCTGAAGTGGTGAAAGGTCCGAAGACCCTGAAAACCACCTGTTTAGGCAGGATGCATCCTCAAGTGGTGAAGGGTGTCCTGAAGTGGTGATGAAAAATACCACTGTTGTTAACCTTCTCTCGCCACCGTGGTGCACTCGAATGGAGTCACGCCGATCGTCGGATGCAACAAAGTGTTGTACGCGAATTTGATGTCGAGGATGCGGTCAACCCAATCCTTCTGATCCATACAGATGAGAGTGCAAAGCATCATTTGAGCGGTTTGATGTGCCCGCTCCGTTTGCCCATCCGTTTGTGGATGCCGAGCTGAACTTGGCTTCATCTTGGTGTCGGAGTCCTTCATGAGCGAGGTCCAAAATGCCGACATAAAACAAGTATCGCGGTCGTTGACGATGTCTTCCAGGACGTCGTGGCTGCAAATCCAGCCGGTGTGCAAGAGTCCCGCAAGCTCCAGAGTCGTGGCGTAGTACTTGCAAGGAAGAAATCGTGCGTACTTGCTTAAACGGTCAACAACCGTGAGAATGTCGTCGTGCCCGAAGCGGTCACGGGGGAACGGGGCGGTGATGTCCATAGCAATGGAGAGGCCCGGTTCCCCCGGAATAGGAAACGGGCGCAACTTGTCGTAGGGGTTGCGATTGCGGGGTTTGCTTTGTCGGCAAACTTCGCAAGAGTCGCAAAACCGAGTGACTTCGATAATGAGGTCCGGCCACCGAATTCGTTGCCGAAGTCTTGCGATCGTAAGGTTGACTCCGAAATGGCCGGCGAGTCTGGAGTCGTGGTACTTGCCGAGGAGGCGAGTCCGTAAGTGACGGTCGTGTGGGACGCATAGTAGATCCTTGCTTCATGAGTGAAGAAGCAAGTAGCCGTCGACGATGCGATAATGGCTGGCCGACGGATGATCCGAGGATAGTTGCTCGTAGAGCGTGGTGTATTCCGGGTCGGACTTGTATGCTCGCACGAAATGCTGATGGAGGGCATCGTCGAAACTGAACGCGTGGTGAATGAATGCACAAAGATCTGATCTTCGTGAGAGAGCATCCGTGGCTCGGTTGGAGAGGCCCGAAATGTGTTTTGGTGTGAAGTCGAATTGATCAATGAAGCACATCCATCGAGCGATCATGCTGCTCACCGTATCTTGAGTCCTCAATGGGTTATTGTCTGTAGCCCAAGTGAACCTACGATGCCCGAGGAGGAAGTGTCGCCAACGCTTGAGTACCGTGACGAAAGCAAGCAACTCCTTCCGCACATCATCAACCGAGTTGATGGGAGGCACCTTTTGGCTGAAGTACTCAACCGGATGCCAATCTACTCCGTCGTGCTGTTCCAAAACTGCAGACATGTCGTAGCCGGAAGCGTTCGTAGTCACTCTCGTAGGCAAGGTGGGATAGTAGATACTCAAAAGAGGAATGAGGAGCAACACCGTCGTCAATTTGTGGAACGAACTGCGGACTTCGTCGGTGAACAGGAAGGGTACCTTTGGAGACTGCAATCTTGACAAGGGTGCGGCGATCCGTGCGTATCCTCCGATGAAGCGTTGGTAGTACCTGATCAATCCCATAAAAAAGTGGACTTCCATGGTGTTGGTCGTTTCCAGCCAATCTTGGATGGCCTTGACCTTGTCCGCGAGCGTACGGATGCCTTGCGGCGTCACAAAGTGGCCCAAGTACTTGAGCTCTTGCTGTGCGAATTCGCACTTCGCTCGGTTGGCCTTGTACATGGCCATACATAGCCTGTCCAAAACAGCACATAGATGCACGATGTGCTCGTCCAAAGTCTGGCTATACACCAAGATGTCATCGAGGTAGATGAGCACGAACCGGTCCAACATGTCATGAAACTCCGTTGTCATTGCCGCTTGGAAGATGGTCGGTGCATTCGTCAGGCCGAATGGCATTACGACCCACTCCAAGTGCCTGTACCGTGTCTTGAACGTGTTTTTGTATCGATCTTTTGGATGGATCTCGAGGTGGTGGTAACCGGCCTTGAGGTCCAACTTGGAGAAGTACTTGGCGCCGCCCAAGCGTTCGTGAAGATCGTCGATGTGTAGACGCGGGCCGACATTCTTAATTGTTTGAGCATTAAGCTGAGGATAGTCAATGCATAAGCACAGATCCTTGTTCTTCTTTCGAACGAAGACAACGGGTGCATTGTAGAGCGAGCAGCTAGAGCGAATCTAGCCCTTGCCAATGAGGTCATCGAGTTGCGTTCGAAGCACTTCGAGTTCCTCCTCGCTCATGCGGTAAATACATCGGCGCGGAGGTACGGCCCCGTCTTTGAGGATGATCTCGTGACGAATTGTCTAATTCGTACGATTCCGACAGGAGCTTCAAAGACGTCGCCATAGGAGTCAAGAAGTTGTACAATGTGTGGATCCGGTGGCTGTTCCGCCGCTGGCTCATCAGGAGGAGGGAGGGCGTGCAAGAAGCAAATGCCCATTTCCTCCACGTCGTTCCGTGCGATGGAGTTGCGAATGCTTGCCGCGGAGACCACGTGACATCCAATGGAAGGGTGAGGTGGGGGGACCGTACATGGCACCAGTACCCCCTTCCGATCACGAACGTGAACGGTGCGACAATAGAAGTTCCTCGCAGCGCGGCCCAAAATAATATCGACTTGTGTGTCCAATACGTCCTCACTGCACAGCCAGGACATGGCCTCGCGTGCATGCGGGGCGAAGTACACGGGGACGGAGTCAACACACCGGTTAATGGACTTGTGTGTACGATCGTCGGCCAACGTGACTTGCGTGGGCTGCGATTTCCTTCGAACACACGGCCCAAGGCCGGCGCGCTTCATGAAGTTTTGGCAAATGTAGTTGCGAGTAGCTCCACAATTAATCAAGGCGCTGTAGGTCGCCTTCCCGATCTAAACGCGGACGTAGAGTAACGCTGCGTCCATGTTGTCGTACCTTTGTGTGGCGTACTCGCGGTCAATCTTCGCAACGTACTCGCAAAGCTCAACAACCGCTTCTCCATCTTCCATCACCGGAGTTGGTACTACAGCGTGCAAGTAGTTGCGCACTTCTGCCATTAAGGCATTGCAATGCGGTTTCGGCAAGGAACAAGATGGGGTAAGACGCATCCATTGGAAGTTCTCCGGCGTCAATGACCATATCGACAAGTCCTCAAATAGTGTCGGCGAGGATGCTAGTTCGCTTGGCGATGGTGATGAGGTCGCGCACGCATATGACTGTTGCATGTGGAGAGGTTGGTCCAATGGAGGGACCAGCTGGACAGCATAGTCTTCGTAGCTTTCTTGAAGACTTGCGACATACGCATGTTCCCCGGATGTGGAGGAGGTTGCTAGCAAGGCAACCGTGTCCGGCGGAGTAGGAAGTGGTGTCGCCTCACTTCCCGCTCAGTTCAGTTTCCCGAGCTTTGTCGTGGACGGACGTCTTCTTTGCCTTTGTCAAGGCATTGCCACGTCGCATGCTTGGTGCTATTTCACCAATAGCAACAGTTCCACTCCTGGCGGAGCTTGTATTGCTCCTTCGTGAGGCAGGACTTCTTCCACGGTTCGTTCGGCTGTCCGGCTTTCGTTGTTGACGCAGATTTCACATTTTTCTTGTTGTTGTTGCGTCGTGGAGGAAGGGCATTGACTCCGTCTCCTTCACTACACTCGTGAGTCAATGCCTCGTCGTCCTCTTGTCCATCGCATTGGACAACAGCGACTTGCTATGGCCACGGGCCTTGGCCCTTCTCCACAAAGTACGGTTGGCTTCGCCGCTCGTTGGAGGCCCACCGATTTGTTTGGATTACTTTGTGCGCCGTTTCCACGATCTGACAAAGTCTGTGTACAGGCTGCGCTCCCCAAGGGTTGTGCTCAATGCGTCGACCCACCGCTGGAAGAATTCGCAACGAAGATGTACGAAAGGTATATCTAGATTCGAAATCGTCATGAGTTTCTGCCATTGGGTTAGTGTTGCATACTGTAACGGTGCAGACCAGAACACAAACCGACCTCTCAATACAAAGTACAAGATGGCGTAGCGGAAGACTTCGATACCAATGATCCGAACAATCAATATTGCAATGCAGCCCTGAACATACATCATCATCATCGTTACATGGTGTGAATGGGGTCTGGCGCTTCACACAGGCAGACTGCGCCAGCCCCTACCATACACAAACGAAGAAGAAGGGGGTTAGACGAAGAGGAGGGGAAGATGGGAATGTCGTTAACACCAAGTCTTCGGCACAGGCCCAAATAGTCCCTCGTCGAAATGTTTGAATCCCAAATGTCAAGTTTGGATCCAATGTCGTCAAGTCCCAAGTCACAACTCTCTCTCTCTCTGTTGTAGTCTGAGAAGTCTGGTGGGGAGAGGGTGAGAAGAGATGGTGGACTTAGAAGAGGAAGAAGAAGAACTCTCTCTCTCTCTGTGTCCAGTACTAACCTGTGAAGTTGGTGCCTTGATGCAGGTACCTCGAAGATGGAGCTGGAACTATGGCGCCACAGGTAAGTACCGCTGGCCTCCGCCAGCCATCTCCCTCCAATGCTACTACTACCACCTATTAGCGCCCAACGCTGAAGACTACACGTACAGCTATGGGCGCCTAGCGCTGAAGACTACTGCTAGCGCTGAAGACTACTGCAGCGCTCCTCCTGAGTGCTGCGGCCGAATCCTGAAGACTACTCGTGCCTACTGTCCAACTACCTACCCGTGAAGTGCATGGGAACTTCCTATGTACTACCGGGTGCC